ATAGTATCAGGGCATGGGAGAACTGAATTTTTAAAAATTGCTGGAGCTTACAACTCATCTCCAGGAGAGACAGAGAGGAGGAGAAATGAAAGGCTGGAAATGCATCTGTCAGCATTTATCCCATAGGTTTTTCATGTAGAAACGGTTGTGTTTATCTTCTGATTTTGTATGCAATATGTTGTGTACTATGCGACTCACACTTCTTGATAAATAAAGCACCCAATATGTGTCTGTAACCATGATCACATACATTTTATTAAACATATATCTGTATCACAACCTCCTGTGAGTCCTTCTTGACTCCTGCGTACGTTTGCTGTGAACCTGCCCCTTAAGATAGGCTTCTTTGTTCACTATCCTCCTGACACCAGGTGAGTACTCCTTCCATTGGGATGATCCTTATCCAAACAAGCATCGATTCTAATATAGCCTGCCAGCAAAACTCAGAAAGGGAGATACAAAGTGACCCAGCCTCATGCACTCCGTTGACCACTTTCCCTTGCATTCGAATGACAACTTCTTGACCTTGCTGTTCACTGTTAGAACAAAGCCCATGATACCGTTTGGATCCTGCAGTTTGGGGTGAGTATCATCATTCCTTTCTCCCCTTGCACTCGTGAAAGAGCTGAGATCCCAGTGCCTTTGCAAGCAGCTCAAGTCTATGACCTTAGACTTGGTGTTCGGATGGTGTACCAAGGCTTAAATTAATCAACTAGAGGGATGGGGACTGGGGAATGGGGAAAGTTTGCGTACAGAAAGAAGCATAAATGGGAGAAGATTTGCAGGGAGAGACAATGATGAGAATCCGTGTGTGTGGGAATGAGAGGGATTGGGAGAGAAACTGAAGAGAATGTCTGTCCTGGTCTCTGACAGTTTCCTCGGTCTCCTTCCAAGTCCCCACGAAGCCTAACTCCATTTACTGTAGATGCAATGGCCCCGAGTCATTTCATTACCACCTAATCTCCTCTTTAATTATCTGGGATGCATTTCTGGGAGTTTCCATCAAGAAGCATTACTAGAGGAAAGACCGTTGATACGTTTTTTTCCCCCGTGGAGAAGAAGTGATGTTCTCAAGATCACTATGAATTAGTGGCAGAACAGAGTGACTGCCTCTCAGGCTCCTGTTTGTTCTACTAGACCAAAGGAACCACGTGCGATCCCTCACAGCATTAGGTTACTAGTTCTTACTTGAGTAGAACAGACTACCAATACTGCCCAAGTGCGAGTCCATGCTCTTATCTGTCAGTGAGATAAGCCAAGTTCTCCAAGCTATATGAGCTCTCAAGCACATTTTGCTACTTTTGCATTTTTAAATCAGTAGTATCTTGAAAACCATTTTGCTCATAAACCACTTTCCAAATCTTACCTTACACCTTCTCAGGTAGCTTCCCAATGCCTCCGTGCACTTTTCATTTGAATGAGTCTCATCAAGTGAATTCCTGGTCCAATTTCCAGGCTTTTCCATTTTGTGGTCAAGTCCCACCCTCTCAATGTTATAACTTGTTAAAAACTGTGGATGAAAATGTTATTAGAAAGCAAAGCTTATGAGGAGGCCGCCATTGCTTAATCTTTGGTAGCCAGGGCTCATTGATGTTCCCTTATTTCTTATAAGTGAATATTTATTTTGACCGCTTTTCATTTAGCAGCTAAAGCCATCACTTTTATATCTACTTGCGTTTCTCCAACAATTCTACTGAGAATGAGCAGAGAGTCATAAAGGAAGAATCCAGATTCAGGAAATGTCAGCCTTGGAATAGGCATCACAAATGCCGTCTTATGTTCAGGATGAAAGTGTAGTCTTCCCCACTCTGCAAAGTTCTTCTTCAGCTAAGATGCCAGCAGCTGCGAGACAACCCTTGAGAGCAAGGGGGCGTCCACTTGCCTAAGGAAGCCAGATTGCCCTGGGTGATCAGTCCAGTCCAGCTGTCACACACGAAAAACTGCCCTGCCATCCTAAGGAATTGTGCTTCCCAATCTTCATTTTAAAGATGAGGAAATTGAGGCCCATGGAGGTGAAATGATTTGCCCGAAGTTACACATCTGGATAAATAGCATGCATCTTACGGATGCGCTGATTCCCAGGCTGGGGTATTTTTCCTATGGAGTGAAATTC